TATTTTATTTGCCATTTTGTGGGCTCCTGAAATTTCCTCCAGCTCATGGTTCATGTCATTGTATTGTATCATACATTTCAGGAACAAGCCTTGGTCTCCATGACCAAAAATATAAAAAATGCAAACATTGCTTCTTAAAAAATAAAGTGATCATAAAAAAAGAATAAACAGTTGTGCTATTTTCTGTAAGAAGAAATGCATTTTTTTCCTCTAGAAAGAAACTGATAATATCTTTACATTTCTAGCAACAGTGCATCCCTGGTTAAGTATACAGACAAGGGACTTACAGAATTAATGGAAATATTTGGGACACCAGATACAGAATTTAAGTTTTACAAGCAACCCCTTCACCAGATAGGAAACTAAGTAAACTGTTTTGTTAAAAAACTGGATTCTGCTCATGAAGAAATCTCTGAGATTCAGGAGGATGGAGAAAAGGAATCTATTTTTTTCTTTGACTGAAGATTGGAAAATATGGGGGAAAGTATTAGAATGTAGCATAAGCAGATTGGTTTGAGGGGAATAGCAGGTTTAGTAGCAAATAGGCTAATTTACTGTAGTTCGTTTAATGCATCCAGTAATTACTCAACATAATGAATTGTGCAAATAAAATAGTTCTCGGTAATTCTCAGATTGAATTGTTATATATTTCAAAATATCAATACATAATACCATAATTTCTAAATCATAGACAAGTCAAATTAAATACAATCTCTATCACTTCTGAGAAGCAGAAAACACTGTTCCTAGTTTGTAGATCTCTTTAATCATTCTCAAAGAAGGCTATCTGGAGTTCTGTATAAAAGTGATTCCTGTACATACTCAATGTTCAAACTGAACTACCGCCTTGCATGCAGATTTCTAAACCCATTTAAGACCAAACTCATGACTATCTTTCACAACCTCCAAAAATAGCTTCCCAGTTTTGTGGTGATCTGGCACTACAGCTGATTTAAAATCTGTTAAAACTGTAGTATAGATGGCACCTGTAGTTAGAATAAAGGTGTCTGTCTGTCATCTATCTAATATTTGTTACAATTCCTACAGTTTTGAGGAAAATAGCCCTAGTTCTGGCAAAAGTTTAAAATAGGTATTAATTCTTTACTAGTGATAAATAGTCTGCAGGAACATTCTACCCGAAAGTGTACAATCATGACTTTTAAAAGAAGTGAACCACTCTGTATCATAAGAAACAATGGCCATAAGTTAAAAGAATACCACAAATAAATAGAAGAACTCACTGTTTTAGACCCCCAGCATCTGCAGTACACTACCTTAGTGTAACATAGGTCCTTAATGTTGATTTCATTTACTACTTCGGAATTCTCCTTCTGGATCTTGAGATTAATCAAGCTGTCCTTCTGCTGTTTCTTCTTGGGAAGGAATGGACGAAAAGCAAGATATCCCTGCAGAGCAAGGACACCCAGGAAAGGCAATAACAGCAACCATTCTGGAACTGAGCACATGCCACAAATATAGAGTAATATTCTGCAGCAATGTATTTCAGCCTCATCCTTTATTACCAAATGTTTTGCTCTAAGAACAGATTACAAACCCATGCAGCAACTATTAAAAGTACTTTCCAGTCTCACACTAGTCTTATAAGATGTATGTAATTTGCAGTACTAAGTGCAAAACAGTGACACCCAGTAGAAAATAAGGCTGTGATGAGAGGAAGCCTTGCTGTTATGTTCACTCCATAGTTATTTGTAATGTGGATTTATTATTTTGTTAAGTCATCCACTTATTAGTTTTTCTTTCCTAGATGGGTTTACATAACAAAAAGAATGCAACAGGCTAAAATGTGTTGGGGAATTTGGGGTTGAACATGTTAAGAGAAAATACACCCTAGCATGTTGTGTTAAGCAGACTATCCATATTAATGTTTATTAGTATTAATAGACCTTCTATTGTGATGTAACGTTAATTAATTTTAATCATCATTACAGCCAGTACATGTTGTCTTATGCCTGATCTGGTTTTTTCTTCCCTCCCCCAATTTACAGAGTGATAGACTGGAGGGAAAGGGATTACAAGAGAGTAAACTACACAGTGGGAAATACACTGGGATGTTTTCATAGCATGCTTATGGCTGTTGGAACCAGTGCATTGCTTTCTATCTGTATTCCACATTGTGTGCCTGTTTATTCTCTCGTAATCTCTTCCTCTCCAATTGATGTATATACAAACATTAATTCCCTTCTTGTTAATTATCCCAGTGCCAGGTCTAGCATTCCAAAGGATTGGGAATGGCTAGGAGTGAAACACACTAATCTTGTCAGTTTTGAGCCAGAAAGCACATTTTCGGTCCCATAATTTCGTACTGTGCAAACTGCTTCGCTTAATGAAAAAGGTGCTGGTCTCAATTGTTGTCACTAAACAAGGACTACCGATACATCTAATACAGCATTTTGAATGGAGACAGATATTTCCCTCTGCCAGGCAGTCACATCTCTTGTGCAAAGGATAGATACAAATTGCAGAATGATAGCACCAATTTTAGTATCCCAATATAAAAAGCAGAGTCATTTGAGGATGATATGGTACATTGCAGTAGAATTCTTTGGAACAGAAACAGGAAATGAGAGCAGGAAAATATAACTATAACATAGTGCAATGCCAAAACTAGCAAGTCTTTCCTGCTTCTTCATCTTGCATTCAAATGAAGTGGAAATCAATTTTTGCATTTTTGGTGAAGCCCAACATTGATAAACAAGGAAGAAGTAAGAAAGGAAAATATAAAAACAGATAATCCAAGTTGGTTTGTCATACAAAGACACTCTATATAGTATGTCAAAAGAAGATGCAGCATGTTCTTCCAAGTTGTATTTTGCTGCTATTTTCCTTTGGTCCACATAACATAATAACAAAGGATTAAGCTAAAAAGGGATCAGATAATTTGTGATTTAACATATTTTTTTGTTTCATTACTTTAATATGTAAACAAAATGGGGAAAAAGCAAAGGGGAGACCCAAAAACAGATCAGAAAGAAGAAAAGAATCAAAACCATGTGACATTTCACATAATAAATCATTCCACTTAAATTTTATACGTATCGTTACACCCTAACCTCACAGAATAAAGATTAAGTTTTTCCAATAAATAGATAAAAAGTGAGTTTATAAATAGAAAGGGAACAGTATCTTTCCAATAATGTCTTTTTCATTCTTGTTCAATAATCTATAATTATATAAAAATACATTCCAAGTTTTTGGCATGATTTAAGAGTAGGTTTACTCCTTTAAACCATAACAACTTCCCAAAAACTCACTGATAATAAAACCAAAACTGGGCTATAGTGAGTCAAGCCCATATCATTAAAATGTCCCCTGACCATTTACATCAACATAATCAAGTTGACAGCGAAACCTTTTAAAACTGTATCAAGTAAAACTCAAAAATTTTGTTGGATTTGTCAGATTTTACAGTAAAAAAAGCATAATATTCCTTTAATCCTTGATTTGTTAATATAGGATACTTAAATTCTTTTATTTCACATCTGTTCCAAAGAATAGAATAGAATAGAATAGAATAGAATAGAATAGAATAGAATAGAATTTTTTATTGGCCAAGTGTGATTGGACACACAAGGAATTTGTCTTGGTGCATATGCCCTCAGTGTACATAAAAGAAAAGATATGTTCATCAAGAATCATAAGGTACAATACTTAATGATAGTCATAGGGTACAAATAAACAATCAGGAAACAATATCAATATAAATAAATAATACCGGATACTCTGTTTATAAAAATCACTATAGATCTAGACCAAACTAAAACATATTTAAACACAGATAGTAATTTAGAAATTTTAGATGCTGCTAATGCATCCAGAGCAAGTTGTGATAGCAAGGGAAGTTTTAATTGAACATTCTGCATCTTTGTAAGATTAGATAATCCAAATTCCTCTTGCAGTAATTGAAATGGTTTAAAAACCTGATAAGCAATCAAGCAATCTGAAATATTAATACATTTTTTCATATAATTCTTTGTTTCTTTGAAGACCTTTCATTTCTCATCCAAGAAGCTTCCGAAGAGCTCTTGGATGAGAAGTGAAACGTCTTTCAAAGCAAAACCAGAAAGTCCAGTTGCTTCTTGAAAAAAAAAAAAATCACCTTTGGGACATACTTGAACTTGTATTAGGAAAAACCTGTTTGCTGCAGATAACCATGCTTGGCCTGTTGTATAACTTTCACCTCCATGTTCATTTTTATCAAAAAGCGCTGCCTCTGAGCCTTACTGCGCTCATTTGATACTTTTTCAATCGATCAGCGAATCTCTCTCTCCCCCCCCCCCCATCTTCTAAATACACACATTTAGAAACAGTCATCAGGACTTATTTAAGTATTACCATCAACTGATTAATTTTCCATCCCAAATACCTCAATTTTTTAAGAAAAGTGCTTTCACTAATGGTGGCATACCATTTTCCTACGTTTAATTGGCTTGCCTGGAAGCCTTTGAAGGAGCCTTGAAATACTGTATATGGAGAATGAAGACAGAATGCTTCCCTGCTGAAATAACGCTGAAATTGCTCTTGTCCACTATGGGGAAAGATTTTTGTTACCTATAAACACTCAAGACAAAGACAAAGGCTCTCTGAGTTAAGCCCAAGTTTGGTTGACTTCCATAAACACAAGGGGCTTTTGGCCATATTACAGAAAACAGGTCTAAGGCCCGGAGGGACCCAGTGTTAGTGGGAAAAGGCCAATGGGGCTCAAGGGGCGGGAAACAGAGCATGGGGCATCTTGTTTGGACATTGCATACTAGAGGTTATAATGGGTAGTAGAGATCAAATTTATATTTTTTCTTCTAGTAAATAAGTGCCTGTGATTGATGATGCCTTCTGTGGAAGCTGTTTTGTGTGAGCAAGACTTCCAAATGTGTGTATACTCCAAAAGTTGGGGATAAAGCAAAGTTGCCTTCTTCTTTTGATATTAACTCTTGTAGGATCTTGGAAAGATGTCTCACGCTAAATGACATACAGCGCACAAATAATTTTGTTAAGCCAATTTTATTGGTTACACTATAGCAAAATTTTACTAACATATACACCGTTCCCAACTACTCTCCAAGCCTTACCAGAGTAGCTGCTCAATAAAGGGACTGGAAAATATGAGTTGAAGACAAGTCTAAGTGGGAGATAGGTAGACAACAGCGAAAGACCTAAAAGCCAAGTTGATGAGAAAATCATTTGGAGAAAATCTATCCATATAGTCACTAGGAAGTAACACATGATTTGATAGCAACAAAACAATTTCTATTTTTATTAATTTAGACCAAATACGTACTGTCAATTCATTTCATGCACACACAGACACACATTTTATTCACTATCTTATTAAACCTTCACACAATTTCAGCATTTTTATTTGAATTGATAATGAATAGCAGATCAGGTAACAATTATACAGTTTGTTCCCCCTAATTACATATTGTGTCCTTATGGTCTATAGCAAAGTTGGGCATTTGTTTTGCTGCCAGGACAACCTGTGCTGCTTCAAGTTTCAATCACAGACACACAATTGCTGTGGAGTTTAGCAGTTTTACTTCCAGGCTGAAGAGATAAAACAGTGACCAAAAATGTAACCAAAACAGAAACTTGCATGAAGTGGTTTTTTTTAAACAAGAGAACACAAAAAAATAGTCCAAATCCATTCCAGGGTTCTGAGAACCATGTCAGGATTGTCAGACAGTTTAGAAGTCAGAGGTTCAAGATTTCTTATACAAATACAGGAACATTACACAAGACGCCCCCTTATCCCCATGTAAACTGTTGAAACCATTTGCTATAATAAGGCATGGAAGGGTTTATGTTGGTTTTTTTTGTAGAAGTGAGGTTTTATTTATTTAATTTCTGTAGTTGCCCAAATCAATTAAGTGACTCTGGGTGGCTTACAATTCTAAAATTATTAAACAAAACAATTTTAAAAACATTAAAATAATAAAAATACCCACAAAATAAATAAGCTCAAATAATAGCTCTGATTGTCAATAAACTAATCATAAAGCCAAGTATTAGGGCCCTTAATACATTCTGAGCCCCAGACATAACAAAATTTTTAAAGCTTTGCAAAAAGCCAATAGGGTTGGAAACCATTCTAATCTCCACTGAAGATGGCATTTAATTTTGTTGTCCGAGGTGCAATGACAACTAAACTAAACTAAACTAAACTAAACTGAACTGAACTGAACTGAACTGAACTGAACTGAACTGAACTGAACTGAACTGAATACCCCATAAGGCAGAGGCTACAGCATAAATACTATCTGCAGCATGTCCAATCTGTTGGACCGGATTGGACGGATGGAAAACCTTGGAAAAAGATGATAATTTGGTTTTTTGCATGTACTCACTGGCTGGCTGGCTGCTAAATGTAGATAGGAGTCACTAAAAATAAGTAATATTCTTGGCACTGGATTTTCTTGTGTATTTCATTTATCAGTCTCCCAGAACTCTTGAACCTTTGTTCTGGTGGTTTGAGAAAGGTTTGTAAACAGCATTGATGGTGGCATTTCTTGGAATTATTCTCTTCTTCAAAGGAAAACTACATTGGGACCTTTTTTATGAGACATCTCACAACTCAGTTCTTCATCATTATTTTACCAGCTGAAAATTATCTCATTTCCTGTTATCCTGGAGAACATTTTCAGCGATAGTAAAAATCATAGTAGGTAACTAGCTCATTGGCTTAGCTACCTACACTTTTCCCCTCACATAGATAGATCAGTGTTTTTCAACCTTGACAATTTAAAAATGTGGATTGGCTGAGGAATTCTGGGAGTTGTTACATATTTCTTTACCTTATTTATCATTTTGTAACCTGAAATTTCCTCCAGTTCATAGTTCATATCATTGTCCAATACAGTGGTGGATTGCTACCGGTTCGCCCCGGATTGGGGAGGCTCCGCCCACCCACCCAGACGCTTCTGTGCATGCGCAGAAGCAGCACGTGCAAGTGCGCACATACCCACAAGCGAACCGGTAGCGACGGGTTTTGAAACCCGCCCCTGATCCAGTATCATACATTTCAAGAAAGATCCTTGTTCTTCATGATCAGAAATATAAAAAATGCAAACATTGCTTTTTAAAAAACCAAGTGATAAAAAAAAGAATCTCAGTTGTGTGTTTTTAAGCAGAAATGCAGTATTTTTCTCTAGAAAGAAACTGATAGTAAGCATTTGTATATTTCTAGCAATAGTTCTTACATGGTTAAGTATGCAGACAAGGGACTTACAGAATTAATGGAAATATTTGGGACACCAGATATAAAATTTAAGTTTTACAAACAACCCCTTCACCAGATAGGAAACTAACAATGTAAACTGCTTTGTTAGAAAATTGGATTCTGTTCATGGAGAAATCCTAGAGGGTCAGGAGGATGGAGAAAAGGAATTTACATTTTATGTGACTATACAATGTCTAAGAATGTTTTGATTTCAGCCCATTTCTTTAACAGAATAAATAGTTGGTATACACTTTAATCTAGCATCATTTGCTGTACCCTTGTTTGTTTGCCTGGGTCCTTTGGAGCAAATGATATTTTCTAGCACATACAGCTTAATACTATGTAAAATGTGGACCATGACCACCTAATGTTACTCTTGCACATGGGAATCTGAACTTAACTATGTACAAGATGTATAGGTAGATTGGATACACATGCCAAGAAGAACTGGAAAATATGGGGGAAAGCATTAGATTATTTGAAGTTCAAAGTGCTATACTGTTCATGTAACATGAACTAATTTGTTTAAGGGAAGATCTGGTTTAGTAGCAAATAGTTTAATTACTATAGTTCATTTAATGCAGCCAGTTATTACTCAACATCATGAATTTTGCAAATAAGATAGTTCTCAGACTGAACTGTTCTATATTTCAAAATATAAATACATAATGCTATAATTTCTAAATCACAGACAAGCCAATTATATATAATCTGTATCACTTCTGAAAAGCAGAAAACACTCTACTCCTAGTTTGTAGATCTCTAATCATTATCAAAGAAGGCTATCTGAAGTTCTGTATAAAAGTGATTCCTGTACACACTCAATTTTCAAACTGAGCTACCGGCTTGCATGCAAATTCCTAAACCCACATAAGACCAAAATCATTACCATCTTTGACAACCTCCAAAAATTCCCAGTTTTGTGGCAGTCTGGGAATACTCCCAACTTGTTTAAAATCTGTTAAATCTGTAGTGTTGATACACTGTAGTTAGAATAAAGGGATGTCTGTCTGTCTGTCTGTCTGTCTGTCTGTCTGTCTGTCTGTCTGTCTATCTATCTATCTATCTATCTATCTATCTATCTATCTATCTATCATCTATCTATCATCTATCTAATATTTGTTACATTTCCTGCACTTCTGGGAAAAATAATTCTGCTATGATTACAAAGCATAGATATAGTACATTTTTGTTATATAAAACACATTACCAAACATCTAGCACAAAGTATAAATTTAATATAATCTAAAAATATACTAAAATATAACCCTATGATTATTACAAGACTGAAAGCCCGACATATACATATACAAATGGACTTCCTTTTAGTCACAGCATATTTAGGAGTTTGCTAGACTTCCTTTTTCCTGAGTATTAAAGGGCCCACATTATCTCCCGTTGACTCGTTGTGTTTGTTGTGAGAGCCATCACAGACAGGGAACTGAAACAAAAACAAACAGAGAAAAAATAGGTGACCTGCAATGTTAGTGGTTTTAGGACTATAATTGAGATTAAGGGAGAGGTTACTCTCAAATACATTAAGAAACACAATACATACTCAGATGAGGTTGGTAGGCTAGTGTGGGTAATAGATCACCAAGGATGAGAAGTATCCAAAATGTAAACTGAAATCTAAATGATACTCTTGGTGCTTTAAATTATGTACTATGTTTATTCATCACCAATACTAAGAGCTATTGAACAAATTCAGCATCTAATGTGTATGCTTTAAAACAATGGCTTATACAGGAGTTAGAAGTGGTCAGAAATGAACAGCTACAAACATATTCTGTCCAAATTCTATTCCTATTTAGTTTAACCTCAACAATTAGCTTGGCTTGGCATATGTTAAGGTATAAAGTGTGGTTTACAAATCACAGTAGGCTTGGTTTAAAATATCTTCATTGCTAAACCACATTACTTTGAAATTTCAATTGGTGGATTCTGCTTAGTGTAATCCACATGTTAAAAGAATTGAGTTATAGTTGCCAATTTGAACACGTTAAATCATAAATAACAAGATTACATTTGGCTCTATATCCAAATTCAGTTATGGTTTATGATCACATGGCATAACAAGACATGATTTATAACAATTGTACAACAATTATAACTATGGAATGGCATGCTATCCTTAGCCAGTTAAATAAAATGGACAAATCGTATCTGTATCATAGCTGTTGTTCTTCTCCAGCAAATTCACCCTTGCAGTTCAGCAACATGTCAGAAACTAAATGAAAGCAAAGAGCTTTAAAATCATGGTGAACACATATGAATTTGCCAAGCTACCAGGGCCAAGCTAGATGTCCATGCAATTTATGTGCTCACAAAAGCATATATAAAGCTCTCAGGCATTTAGCTACAGAATAAATTTTAAAATGCAGGTCTTTAGTAGTATATAATCGCCGTAGCCAGGATGACTTTTTATCAGGTTCGCCTGATTCGCCAGTTGTATCCCTTTCTGGATCGGGACTCGTTACGCACGGTCACTCACGCCCTTGTCACCTCACGCCTGGATTATTGTAATGCTCTCTACATGGGGCTCCCCTTGAGAAGCACCCGAAGGCTCCAACTGGTCCAGAATGCGGCCGCGCGGGTGGTAATGGGAGCAATGTGGCGCTCTCATGTAACCCCCCTCCTGCGCGAGCTGCACTGGCTCCCAGTGGTCTTCCGGGTGCGCTTCAAGGTTTTGGTTACTATCTTTAGAGCACTCCATGGCTCAGGACCAGGGTACTTACGAGACCGCCTCCTGCCACCAATAGCCTCTCACCGACCAGTTCGCTCCCATAGAGAGGGACTCCTCAGGGTGCCGTCGGCCAAACAATGTCGACTGACGGCCCCCAGGGGGAGAGCCTTTTCTGTGGGGGCACCTACCATCTGGAACGGACTTCCCCCGGAGTTACGAAACATCCAAGACTTACGCATATTCCGCCGTGCCCTGAAAACATTTCTATTCCAACAAGCTGGTCTGGCCTAACTCTCCCTTTTTAATTGGCTTTTAAACTGGCTTTTAAATTGGGTTTTAAACCTCTTTAGATAAATTTGGATGTTTTTTAATCTTTGAGCCTAAATTACTTAATCTGTTTCTTAATAGTTTTTAACTTCTATATGTATTTGTATTTATTATGGCTGTTCACCGCCCTGAGTCCTTCGGGAGTAGGGCGGTATACAAATATGAAAAAATAAATAAATAAATAAATAATCAACACTAGTTTTGGCAAAAGTAAAAAAAAAGTATTAATTCTTCACTAGTGATAAACAGTCTGCAAGAGCATTCTACCCTGAAGCGCACAATCGTGACTTTTAAAAGAAGCAAAGCACTCTATATCATAAAAGACAAGAATGATCTTAAGTAAAAAGGGTATAGCAAATTCAATAAAACAACTCACTGTTTTAGAGCGCCAGCATCTGCAATACACTGCCTTAGTGTGACATAGATCCTCAATGTTGATTTCGTTTACTACTTTGGGATTCTCCTTCTGGATCTTGAGATTAATCAAGCTGTCCTTCTGCTGTTTCTTCTTGAGAAGGAATGGACGAATAGCAAGATATCCGAGCAGAGCAAGGATACCCAGGAAAGGCAATAACCGCAGCCATTCTGAAACTGAGCACATGCCACAACCATATTATAGAGCAGTATTCTGCAATAACCATTATACAAACATCTACAAATATTTATTCCCTTGTTAATTATCCCAGTGCCAGGACTAGCATTCCAAAGGATTGAGAATGGTTAGGAGAAAAAAAAAAACAATGTGTGAAACACATTAATCTTGTCAGTTTTGAGCCAGAAAGCACACTTTCAGTCCCATAATTTTGTACTGTGCAAACTGCTTCATTTAATAACAAAGATGCTGATCTCAATTGTGGTCACTAAACAAGGATTACCTATACATCTAATACAGCATCTTGAATGGGGACAGAAATTTCCCTCTGTCAGGCAGTCACATATCCTCTGCAGAGAACAGATACAAATTGTAGAACAATACCACCAAAATTGGGACATTATAGGCCTTCAGTTGATTTTGATATTAAAGTCAGAGTAGATCATCTCTGCACCTCCAAATGTTGCTGAACTAAACTTCAACTATCTTATACTCTGGCTATGCTGGCTACAGGGACACAATGGCTCAGTGACTAGGATGCTGAGCTTGTTGATCAAAAGGTCAGCAGTTCAGCGGTCCAAATCCCTAGTGCGCGTAATGGGGTGAGCTCCCATTACTTGTCCCAGCTTCTGCCAACCTAGAACATTAAAAAGCACATAAAAATGCAAGTAGAAAAATGGGGACCACCTTTGGTGGGAAGGTAACAACGTTCTGTGCGCCTTTGGCATTTAGTCATACTAGCCATATGACCACGGAGACGTCTTCGGACAGCGCTGGCTCTTTGGCTTTGAAGCAGAGATGAGCACTGCCTCCTAGAGTCTGAATGATTAGCATATATGTGCAAGGGGAACTTTTACGTTTACCTTTTACCACCAAATTAAGCATAAAAAGCAGGGTCATTTTGGAATGATATGGTATATTAGAATTCTTTGGAACAAAAATAGGAAACGAGCAGAAAGGTATAACTAAGAGCACAATCTAAACGAAGTGGAAATCATTTTTTGCACTTTCTGCTGAAGTCAAACATTAATTAACAAGGAACTAGTAGAAAAGGAAAATATAAAAATATAATCCAAGTTGGTTTGTCATACAAAGACACTCTATATAGTATGTCAAAAGAAGATCCAGCATATCCTTTCAAGTTGTATTTTGTGCTGCTTTCCTTTGGTTCCCCATAACACATTGGATTAGGTAAAAAAAGTACCAAATAGTTCATGGGCCAGCATATTTTTTGTTTCATTACTTTAATATTTAAATAAATGGAAAAAAGAGCTAAGTGGGGGGTAATCACAAAGACAGACCAGAAAGAAGAAAAGGTTTTGACATTTAAATATAGATTTAGTCTTTTAAACCATAACACTTTTCCTTTTATGTCCTAATGTTTTCCAAAATGAATCTTAACTGCAGCCTTTACTACAGAAAATACAACAGAACTATAGCTAAAAAGGGAGCCAAGGTACTGCCATGATATGAGAAGGTAAAATAACAGCTTTCTAAATGTTGTTGTTTGACTTTATGATTTTTATTCTGTGGAGAAATTAATGTAAAACTACAAGCTCAAAGAGAATGCTGAAGTCAAGAAAGCTGAAACCCCTATCATGATATGATAGGCAAATTTAAACAAAGAAATTATAGGGATTGATCATATATAGATATAAATATAGAGGGAGATAGAGATATAAAATCTTCCTACAATAACAAGATAGCAATAGCACTTAGAATTATATACCGCTTCACAGTGCTTTACGCCCCTCTAGCGTGGATAAAAATCTATTATTATTATTTTAAAATCAGATTTTTTTATTTAAATTGGATTTTTTTACATTTTTATCCAATTTATTTTAATAAAATGCTTTTGGAGTAAAAATCTATCTAAAGATAGTTTTCTATTTAAGATACATTAATAATTTATTCAGTATGAAATGTAGCAGTTATGTAACATGAGGCTGTATATTCTGCAATATTGGGATTGTCATTGAGTCAACAGCGGGTCAGAGGAGGAGCTGATGCGGGACAGAGATGACAGTTTAACTTTTTTAACTTTAACTTTTATTAGATTTCTATACCGCCCTTCTCCCGAAGGACTCAGGGCGGTGTACAGCCATATTAAAACACAAATAAGTTACAAAATTTTAAAAAACCGTTAAAATCGAATATACAAAAATTTGGCCCACAAATTTAAAACTAACATACCCATTTAAAATTCATATTCATGTTAGGCCAGCCTGGCTTGTTGAAATAAGAGGGTCTTCAGTTGCTCTTTAAAAATTATTATTTAAATCGAGTTGATTTAAATCAAGCCTTTTTACTAGTGATTTAAATGATTTAAATTGTGATTTAAATCAACTCGATTTAAATCAAATCTACCCTGCAGCCCCCTCTAAGCGGTTTACAGAGTCAGCATATTTCCCCCAACAATCTGAGTCTTCATTTTACCAACCTCGTCGGAAGGATGGAAGGCTGAGTCAACCTTGAGCAGGTGAGAACTGAACTGCCAAACTGCTGGCAGCCAGTGATCAGCAGAAGTATCCCGCAGTACTGCATTCTAACCACTGTGCCACCGAGGCTCATAAAATAGTACAGGAATGCTTCTATGTAAGAACAATAGCCTTCAAGTGATATTTTACATAATTAACTACAGTGGCATTTTAACCATTTGTTTGTTGAGATAAAAATACATACTAAAACTAAAATCCTGGTTATTGTCATTTGCACAGAAACATTAGAGCACATTAAAAGTACTTAATCTCTTGATAAATTACACAATTTCTACAAAATATCAATATTGGTATAGAAAATAATTATTTGTATATAACAACTTGTGTTCATCTCTTACCACTGTTATACTTAAAACCTCTATTTGCATAATAAAAGATGTAATGGTTCCATTATTAAATGAAAAATAAAATAAAAAAAGGACTTATTGAACACTACCTATTGATCCAATTAATATAAAGAAATGAAAAGCTAATTTCAGCTACAATTCAAAGCACTTGTCCACTTCCAACAAAGCCATAAATTCTGATTTTGATTTTTTCCAAATGAATAAAGTATTTTTATAAAAAGTTTTAATCCCAGTTTTATACTTTTTATAAATAACTCACAGTGGCAAACATCTAATTCTCCTTTGTCATCTTGTTTTTTCCACAACAACCCTATTAGGTAGTTTGGGCTGAGAGACAGTGATAGGTTCAAAGTTACCCAATTAGTTTTCTTGCTTAAAGGAATTAGAACTCAGTCTCCTGGTTTCTAGCCTACTAACTTAACCGATAGACCAAACTGGCTCTCAACAGAGATCAATCAATATTATCAAGAATTTGATGATCTTTTATAAAACCAGATTGGGTAGGATGGATTATTAATCTGTCTTTAACATATGTGCCAGGATCATTAAATGTTCAACAAGAATATAAAATCATTCATGTTGTGTTTTACTTAATTACTTCATACACCACCTCAGTTTAGGTTTTTGACTAGTTGCAGGTACAGAATATTATGGGAAGTCAATCACTGTCTTACAGTCAGCATATTGTGTTATCCAGGCCATTGTGTTAATTCATCAAATTGTTCATTAGTTTTATATAGCATGTTGTATAGTCCAAGACACAATTACTGTGTCTTGAAACTTTTCCATTATTAGTCAAAAATCTGTTCCGCAAAGTAACTGCACAATACTTTTTTTTAGAAACATCCTTCCATGGAAGCATCATCTTACCTCATGACCATAAGAAAACACCATATTCATATAGAGAAGCAGGGATGGGCTTCTCTGTCTACTGTAACTGTATCAACAAGAGATGTCTAGCCTGATGCAACAGCACATACAAATGGAACAGGAAGAGGCATAAAATTATGGGCCTGAAGGTGACTTTCCCTGTGAAATTGCTATAGGAAAGTCCTCTGTTCTTCACAATTTGATAGATAAAATTTCCAAAGCTGCTCTGCATTCAGTCAAGACAGGCAGGTTGAACAAGATTCCTTTTCTCTCAAGGCATTTTATCCTCTACCCCATATTGGCCTTTCAACTGTGTTTATCACTTCTAAAGAGTTTTTAAATGTGTAGTCATGTAGAGTCTACAGAATCAACACACTCATTGGAGTGAAGCTTACTTATCTCTCCAAACCTCTGAATTTATTAGGCAACGACTTGCCTTCTGGGTACTCTAATTCGGGAGGTTTTAAAGAAAAGATTGGACAACCATTTATTTGAAATGGTACGGGGATTCCTGCCTGAGCAGAACTAGAGACCTCCAAGGTCCCTTCTAACTCCGCTAGTCCACCGGCTTCGTGGATTGTTCCAAGCCAGTCGTGAGGAACCAGCCACAAACGAACCACGTGTGAACCCGAGTGACATTCATTCTTTCTGCTTCAACGCCAATTCGTCTTCTGCCTTCTTCCCAGCCCTGGAACCGAGCCAGCAAAGCGAGTAGCCGCAGAAAAGGGGGGGAACCAAGAGGCTGCGCGCCCGTCTCGGAGGCAGCCTCGCGTGTGGGGGGGGAAAGGGGGGACTGTGTAGCCCAAGGCAGCTACAGGGCGCAGGCGCAGGAGGCTGCCCGACTCGGTCCCCATTGAATCCGACGGAGTTGATTTCCCGACTGACTTTCTGCAAGTGGCGAGAAACTCGGACCTTCCCTCAGACGTCGGGCTTCTCCCAAAGGGGGTGGGGCGGGGGGGTTCTCATCACACACACACACACACACACACACACACACACACACACAGAGAGAGAGCGCCCTCCTTTCCCAAACAACCCTGCGCTGCCCGCTAACCTGAGAGTCTCAGGAAGCCGCCGACGCTCTCCGGCAGCGGCAGGCGCTTGAGGTAAGCAGGCAGCTGCACTTTGACGATGCGGGCCAAGCTATCCAGCACCATGGCGCCGGGCGAGGGTTCCGCGGGGCGGGGCCGGGCTGGACGCTGCTGGGCTACCTCCGGTTCGCGCGGCGGACTTCCATGCCAGCCTCGGACTTTTGCCCTTCTTTCTTTCCCCGCACAGAAGCAGTGGCTCTCCCGGCCACGGAGCATGCGCGTCACCTGCGGGGTGGGGGCAGGAGGGAGAGGCCTACCAAGGAAGGGGGGCGGCGCCTGCTCGACCTCCCTCCCGCGATGGGACATTATATAAATATAATCTCTATCTGACAAAGACTTAGTTACCCTTCCTCAGCCCAGCTAACAAGCTACTGCTAGCTTGGAGTTGAAGACCAGTCTCTTCCCTCTTCTTTTGGAAGGTGGGCTCATTATAACTATTTTGTCTAATAAGGAGTTTAACTCAAATCTGAATTCTCAGAAGGGATAATTCCAAGAACCCTACTATAAAATATTATTAGTGGATACACATATGCATAAATGTCCATAACAAGCCGTATGGTGGCATGCCGATGGTGACATCATGAAGTAAAAGACCAGGTTTAGTGAAGACTTTAGCTCAGAGGTGTTCAAATTTGGCAGCTTTAAGACTTGTGGACTTCAACTCCCATGATTCTCCAGCCAGCTTAGCTGGCTGGAGAATCATGGGAGTTGAAGTCCACAAGTCTTAAAGCTGCTAAGTTTGGGGATCCCTGCTTTTTAGAGCATCTTCTAAGGTAAATCTGACGAGTCGCGCGTGCGCAAATCTTCCAGCCCCCCTTTCGTTCCCCCGAATGAGGCGAGGAGGCCTCCTTTCCTATCTCGGTCGGGAGACATCCGCCGATCGAAAGAGGCGGCGCTGTTGAGGTCGCGGCTGGTGTTCGGTGCGGGCGGGCGTAGGAAGGAGGAAAAGGCAGGCGGCGGGCGAGCGAGCGGCTCCATCCCCCACCCGCAGGGAGGGAGGGAGTGCGGCAGCGGCGGCGCAGACAGGCCCGACGAGGCGGAGGCGAAGGAGGCGCAGTTCGAGTGACCCCCGGCCGCGGCGGCCACCCACCACCACCACCACCACCACCCGCACCGCCACGCTCTCCCCGCGCAGAAGGCAGGATGGCGCTGAAACGCATCAACAAGGTGAGCGGGGGGGCCTGACGCGGCCTCGGCCTGCCGGCTTGGCTGAGCCGCCGGGCGGAGGAAGGAGCCGGGAGGGAACACGGCCGCCTTTCCTTCCTTCCTTCCTTTCTTTCCGCAGCGGCGCTCGGCGGTTCGGCCGGGCCCGGTAGGAGCGTTACGGGAGGCTGGATTCCCGGCTGCCCGCAATCGGGCCCGGCGGTGGGGTTGAGGGGTGGAAGGTGCCGGGACGGACCGTTGGGAGCTCAGCAGGGATCGCGGAGTGTCCGGAGCCGATTCGTCCTCCGCCGAGTCCGGCCGAGGCCATCGGGCTGCCGCCACCCGCTATACCTGCCTTTCTATTGGTAGTTCATGTTGAATTCTGTATTTTTCTTGTTTTTTTATTCTTCCTGTGGATGTTCTAATCTGTGCTTGTTCTAAATAAACTGCTAAAAATTTATTTCGATTCCAATACCATATTAGTATGTAAAATATCGCCAGTAATCTTATCTCTGCATATTTTGCTACTCTGGGCTGTTCTACATGCCATTCTACTGCATGTTTTCCTGCCAATTTTGCTTTATGTGCTAGATTTGCTTTCCTAATCTTTGCTTCGGGTAAAATGATGTTGATTGAAATATTGATGCATTTGATCCTGCCTTCAGGCTCAGCCTAGTCATGTTGGGCAGAAAGGTGGATCCATCCATATATTGAATGGATCAATCTTCCCTTATGCATTTACAGGTATCCTCAAGGTACATATGATGATTGTTTAAAATTACAAATGCCATCCCAAAACTGTACTTACAATAGGGGTTCAAAATTGCAACCACCAAGACACCTTTGCAGTCATGTAACCTGGATTCAATCACTCCTGAAGCATCTCAATCACTCCTGAAGCATCGGCCATTTTTAATCCTATGACTGCCCTTTGTTGCCTGCAATTATAACAATTTCCGAGACCTATATGATTTTTTTCCTCTGGTCACATGATCAATCAAAATCATAATTTTAAATCTTTTTATCATTGGTGACCAGGCCTCATGCAAACATCACGTTTGTGATATATGTGTATCTGTGTGTATGCAAAGAAAATATGTCTATTTGTGTGTATACACACATGCATGCAAAGAATAGATATTAACTCTTGAAGGATCTTGGGCAGTGATCTGGTTTTTATATTGTTAATTACCATAATGGTTTCTTTAAGTCCTTGAAACATGATCGTACTTCTTCATAATTAATGGCAGAATCCAATTCCTAGCATTAGGAAAAGGAAAGTTATATCTTGCTTCAACAAATTAATTTTAAGATATGTCACTCTTCTGCACAGGTACCATCAACACTTATGATGTAAAACTGTTGTGGTGTTATGTCTTGCAGAAAGCAGTGGAAGATATTGTTATTTTTGCGTGGCAAGTGTCCCAATCATTTGTGATTTTAACTGGAGCTGAAATCTTCATTACTTCTCTTGGATTTCAAACTGTTGGTAAGTTTGCATATAGCATTCTGAAATATACTGCCTGGCTTCCTTATGAGAAGAACCAGAAGCTTAGCCAGAATTGGTTATATATATATAAACTGACAGTTGAATGCTTTTCCAAATCAGAACATACTTATTTATTTCCATGCAGCAAACGTAGAATATTTTTAAAAATTTCAGTCATACAACTAAAAACTCTGTTTATATACTGTTCACTCAAATGAATATCCAACTAAGATTTTATATAATGTATGTGTGTGTAAACATATATATATAACATACATACACACACACACACACATATATATATACATACATACATATATATAACTCAGGCAACTAAGAATTCCAAAATGAATGTTCATATAAATATTCTTCAAGTAGTTTTCAGTATATGATATAGTTTTTCCAAGACAGGTATGACAAAATGCCTGGAAAGCCACAAATTAGTATTATTATGCAGGAATCTTATTTTGCAGTATTGCAAGTACAGACCCTGTTTGCAGAAGAGATCTGTACATCTCAACAAGATTCTTCTCCCATTCCCCTATATAGATGTTGTTAAGTAATGATTGCCTTTGGGGGAGATCTATAGATTTGCTCCTAGTCAGTTGGGGGTCATGGCTACAAATAACGTACCTTATTAAAAAAAAACTACAAATATTTGATAATGACTTAATAAACAAATACAGTCATGGTTAATTGGTTTCAGAAAATGCACTGGCTCCATCTGAGAAATACTTAGCTACATTTTATCGATCAAGATTGTGATTGCATGCCATTTGCTCTTACAAGTATTCTCCCAGTCAAATGGAAGTATTAAATCTCTCTCTCTACAGGGTTTTGTTTGGCCACTAAGTTTTTTGGCTGTAGCAGTTCAAATTGTTGCTACCTTGATGATTGGTTCTGGCTTTCATTGGAAGGAAAAATTACTTATTCCACTGGCATGGATCCTGAAAGCAACTGTCCAGGTAGAGTACTATCTTATACAGTACCTCTGGCTATGCTGCCTACAAATCTATTGGAGGGTTTATAGTTCACTAAGATCTGGAAGGCCACATATAAACAAACAAGGGAGTTGCACCACTGATGACATGTAAACATATTTCAATAGGGGGTTGGGTGCGGTGGTGTTGGGTAGAGAGAAAATACAAAAACGGCTCTCTTCTACTTAGAAGTATCGACTCCTGACTGATGATGAAACTTTAAAAGCTTATAAGCCTTCAGTTGATTTTGATATTAAAGTCAGAGTAGATCATCTCTGCTCCTCCAGATGTTGTTGAACTAAACTTCAACTATCTTATACCTCTGGCTATGCTGGCTACAGTGGCTCAGTGGCTAAGACGCTGAGCTTGATCGAAAGGTCGGCAGTTCAGCGGTTTGAATCCCTAGTGCCGCGTAACAGGGTGAGCACGTAAAAAATGCCAGTTGAAAAATAGGGACCACCTTTGGTGGGAAGGTAACAGCATTCCGTGCGCCTTTGGCGTTTAGTCATGACGGCCACATGACCACGGAGACGTCTTCAGACAGCGCTGGCTCTTCGGCTTTGAAACGGAGATGAGCACTGCCCCCTAGAGTCGGGAATGACTAGCACATATGTGCAAGGGAAATCTTTACGTTTCTTTACCTTTATGCTGGCTACATATTATTGTGGGGGGGGGAGGTTATTTACAGTTCCATAAGATCTGGAAGGCCAACTGTTGTGCACTCCTGATCTTCAGAACAAAGTAGTGAAAAGTTCTTACCTTGGATTGAAAATGACAGATTTCCCTGCCTGGAATTCTCTGGCAGCACTGCAGTGTGTGTATATGTTGTGAATGCTGGTTGTTTGGAAAGAAAATGGTCCACAGAGAACTCGTTGCTATGTGTCAACCTGCTGTCTTCTGGCATATATTTTCTGCCTGGCCACAATATATCCCGCAGCCCTGCTTTGGGATGCAAATGTTTCTTTGCCCCTGTTCCAATATAGTGGTCTTCCTTTTGAATTCCTGCCCTTGAGTCAGGTAAGGCAGACTGGTATCAAAGAAGCCCTTTGGAGTATGGCAAAGATATTCTTGGGAAATTCCATACAGACTGTTTCCTACATGTTTTATAGACCACCTGTGACAACAGTTATTTCTTCCAATGTATCAATGCTTACCATTCGCAACAATTAACCCTTTACTGTTTTAGGGTGTTTCATAGCATTTTATAGTTTCTTTCTCATGCAAATATTAGAAATAAAAATAGTTATAGTCACATTATCTATCTTTCATTTTTATGCAACTATTGATGCAATTAAGAAAATATATTTAAATACAAATGCATCAATACATTTCAGCCACAGTACTGCTTAGAAATGGAAATTTCACAATGAATGTATTTAAAATTGAATTTCAAGGAAATTAATTTATCATGCAGAACTGATAAGATGAAAGTGACATATCCTTTGAACTGGAAAGCAATAACAGAAAAAAAACCCTGCACTCCTCAGTCATAGGTATAAATAGGAATAAAAAAAAATACTCTCGGTTATGAGATTTTATTATTTATTTATTTATTTTATTATACTTATATGCCGCCCTTCTCCCAAAGGACTCGGGGCGGCTCACAAAAATTAAAACGATGAAAACAATAAAAATAACTACTAAAATAATCAATTAAAATCTCCCAATTAAAAATCACCCATCAGATCAGCAATTTTTTTGAAAAAGCCATGTCTTCAGGTCACAGTGGAAAGAGCAGAGGTCGGGGCCCGTCCGGAGCCCCATGGGTAACCCATTCCAGAGGGTCAGTACGCCCACAGAGAATGCCCTCATCCTGGGCGCCACCAGCCAACATTGTCTGGCCGATGGCACCCGGAGGAGGGCAGTCCTATGTGAGCGCGCAGGCAGAAGGTGGTCCTGCAGATACCCCGGGCCCATGCCATGTAGGGCTTTATAGGTAAGTACCAGCACCTTGAAGCAGATCCGAAGGACCACCGGTAACCAGTGCAGCTCGCGCAGGAGAGGTGTAACATGGGAGAAACGGGAAGCTCCCATAACAACCCACGCGGCCGCATTCTGGACCAGCTGGAGCCTCCGGGTACACCCCAAGGGCAGCCCCATGTAGAGGGCATTGCAGTAGTCCAAACGAGAAATAACGAGAGCTTGGGTGACTGTACGGAGGGCACCCCAGTCTAGGAAAGGGCGTAACTGGCACACCAGGCGGACCTGTGCAAAAGGCCCCCTGGTCACGGCCGTCAGATGGTCCACTAAGGACAGCCGCGAATCCAGTAGGACGCCTAGATTGCGAGCCCTTTCAGAGGGAGTAAGCAACTCCCCTCCCATCAAAAGTGGTGGGGCCACTAGACCATGAGATGCCGGCAACCACAGTCACTCCGTCCGAGATAGATGATTAAAGTTCTTTTCACTATGATCAATAAACAGTATTATGACACTTTACTAAAAACTGACATTGTATTCACATTTAGTTGGAAAAAGTGCCACTAATTTCAGTAGTTTAAGATTTCTGAATAAACCTAAAAACCGAAGAAGTCCCAAAGCTCCTATAGACAATCAAATTTTTTGGAGACCCCCCAAGTAGTTTTAAACGGCCTCAAAGAGTATTCAGATGAGGCCATTTCTGAGTTCCATATAGTCATTATGAACTTTGGTGAATAGGTTTCTTTTTTGCCAAGAAAACAATATAGTTTAAGAATATATAATTATGTCCAGTGTGTCACTAAATGATCACTTTTTTTTTTAAGTAAAGACATATTCATTATAGCTCTCTTGATTTTATAACCAAGGCTATCGGATCCTGTGACTGCCCTTTTTTGCCTACAGTTCCATCAGACAATTTCCGAGGCCGAGGTATGATCAGCAAGTGGTTTTTCCCCCTGGTCACATGATCAATCAAAACCATGGATTTTATAGCCTGCGCATGGGGATTTCTCCTCATTGCTGCCAGGTAGAAAACTGGAGGAGTGAGTTTCTCGTTGCTGCCCTTGTTGCTTCTCGTAGCTGTGGTCCTTCGGATGGAGCACTACAGTTGCCTTTGTAAGTATTTTAACGTTTTTGTTTTCATTATAGCACTACGCTTGTTTATAAGTACTTCATAAATTGCTGTGCTTATTTGTAATTACTTTGCAACCTACTATGTAAGTACTATAATGTCTTTTTCATTACAGCTTTTGTTTGTGTTTACCTTGCAATTGCTTGCAGAAATAGTATCCAGCATCTATAGAAAGAAGATTTAGTACTTGTAAAGTTCCTTTGCATTCTACTGTGCTGTTTGTTTGTTTGCATATATTGCTCGCAGAAAGTTCCTTTTTGTACTGTGCTTGATCACTTTTGCGTTGAGGATTAGTGTACCGTAGATTGCTTTTAGAACAGCTGATGGGCCAGATCTACCCAGATCCCTGAAAATTAACTCCCTACTACACCAATGTTAAGTCCAGGAACCTGCCTGGAGGTGCTGCAATTCTCGCCTTGCCAGAAAACTGATTAAGTGGTGGTAGCAAGATAGCATTATTTAAAATTTCAATGGATTATAGTTGTGGGTATGCAGTGCACAGTAATGGCCCATCAAAATTCAACAGACCTGTGCTGCTGTGCAAAACCTAGTTACATATGCTGTAACTAGAGGTACTTCTACGAGCAGCATCTGTGCACAGGCTGAATCTGGACCACCAGGGTATCTTCTGATCAGAAGAAGTATGACTCTACTTCAGATGTTTCCATAATGGGAGCAGTGTAGAAGGAGATTGTAGAGGCATTGTTTCTGCTTCCCCAAAATTAAAGGGGCAAAGCCTTTCAGTGAACGGGACTTATATTTACAGTCCAATACTGAAGTGGAGGGGGATCATAGCATTGGGCAGCGGAGGAAGCTTTCTGATGGGTAGGTGTTTCCAGCTGGGCAAGGTAGCTGGCAACAGTATCAATGTATTAGTTGTGTACTGGTCTCAAGGAGATTGGAGCTTTCCCTCAAACTGCTTGCCTCTCTGTATTCTTTAACCTTTAGGGATTGTTTTGCCTGATCATATTCCATCTTAAGAACTGTGGAAGGAGAACTTGACTTGAGAGACTAAATTCCACAGCCTTAATCCATGAAGGATCAATGGAAGCCTTGAGGAAAAAAGGTGAGCTTTCACCAAAGGTTTATAGAAACTAGACACACTCCGGACTCCACTTTTATCATGCCTGGTTTCCAGTCGCAGATGTGTGTTTGAGACATGGCATCGTAACTGGATGAATTTAGATTGTACCCTTTGCACAAAAAGTAAAACATGAAGCTGGGGGCCCAACCAAAGTCCTATTGAGGAGTTGGGCCAAAGGCTTAGCCAGAAAGAGCTTGATTAGAACATAATATCTTCTCTTGGATCAGAAGAATTTGAGGATGTCATTAGCAGATCTTTGTCAGGCAGCAGCCACAGCAGCATATTCACAGTGGGCTTTCCTTGAGCCAGTGGCATGCATGCATGAGTACTCCTAAATACTTCAAGCTAGTCACTTGTCCTATTTTATGACCATTAATGCTCCATAATGTGGCATTTGCCTTTTGGCAAAAACCATAATCTTATTTTTCTGATAATTTATTTCCAGATTGTCATTATTGCAATATTGGATCAAAGATTTTGGAGCTCTTTTAAGGCTGTTGGTGTTCTGTGGAGAAGTATAATATCATATTCATGAAGCAGCAGGCCAGTTTAGGGGGATGGAAATTAGGTTCATTTAGACATCTCACTATGCCATTGATGTAGAAGTTGGAAAGCAGGAGGGACAAATACAACCCTGTTTTACCCCGTTTGAATTGTAACTTGTTTTGAGAGGAAGCTTTGCAGCCAGCTCTTAAGTTTATTATGAAGGTGCATAGTGTAGTGTTTCCCGACTACATTGAGCAAGGTAGTTAGCCTGCAGTTTGCAGTCATCTCTTTCCCTTCTTATAGTTTGGGACTATAATTCCCAGACTCCAATCCTCAAGGATGCATCCAGTGGTGTCAATATAATTGAAAAACGATGCCAAGGTTAGATAGAGCTCACCATTCTATGTTCTTCAGTAGTTTTGCGGGAATGAAGTAGCTCGAGGAGCCTTACCGCTCCTGAGTTGGCTGATCAGGGACTTAATTTCAGACCAATAGTGTTTTGGCTACATTACAGAGATTCTGTGATGTCATCCAGCCACTTTATGATATCAGTCTGATGTGACAGAGCACTGAAGTAGTTAGTTAAACTTTGTCCTAGTTGTTTATTAAACAGCTGTGTGGCTGTAAGTTGAATAAGTTGTTTAATTAGACTTCCCTTGCAGAGGCTGTATTGGTAAGGTATCTTCGAAGTCTGAGTGAGGAGTTTTATTTTTATGTATTAAAATGCCAGTACCCTCATAGCTGCACTGACTTAGAAGTGGACTGAATTCCTCAGAGAGAGAGAGAAAAAGCTTTGGAAGATAGAAATTGCTCAAAAAGTTCTCATTTTTTAGCCAGACCGGAAGCTTGCTTTTTGAAAGCTTTTCATCTTTCTCTGTAGTTATTAATATTTTTCTTTTTTATCCATCACTTTCACCCTGCTCGCTGGCTGTTTGCAATTTGAACAGAGACTGTTTGCTTTGGCAAAGTGAGCGATTTTATTTGATTGTATTTCAGTAATTCTTTTGAAGGAGTGTTTTAAGAGAATCTACTTTGCTCAGCAGTTCAAAAATTGATAGAAGAGTGTATTCTATTAATAGACTCCTTAGTTATAAAGTCAAATGTATTTTTTTTCAAGGATTTGAAAGTAGAGCCCTCCTCTCTCTTTTGTATGAGATTTTTGGTGGCTGAACAAGCAGCAGCATTTTGTGAAAGAGCATTTTCCATCAAAGAGGTGGAAAGTTCTAGATGTTGCTGACTCTCACTCTCTGCTTTGTAAGTCCCACTCTAAGGGGTCAAATCTGTTAAAAAGATGAAACAGGATGATGTTACTCACTAAGGAGGCTTGCTTGCTTCTGATAAATCCACCAGCTTTCTGCTGTTTTAGAGGCTCAGCAAAGTGATGTATTGCAAAAGGTGTTCTCTGTTGCTTCTTCCTTCCATGACTGCAGTGCAAATATGCTTTAGATAGGGCTAGTCAGATAGTAGCAATAAAAAAAGTTTTAAAAAAATGATAAAATTGTAAAAAGTAATTGTTAAAAAAAGTCAGTTGCTCAAAATAGATGTTGAATGAAAATTCAAGTTGGATAAAAAAGTTTTTTTTAGGAAGGGCTCATTATGGGGATTGTAGTTACTGTATTTTTTGCACTGTAAGACACACTCCCCCCCCCAAAAAAGTGGGTGGAAATGTCTGTGGGTCTTATGGAGTGAATATTGTGCCACAAACCAAGCTGTGGGGTTTGGTGTGGCAGCGGTGATAAATAAGAATAAGAATAAGAATAATTTTATTTCTATACCGCCCTTCTCCCGAAGGACTCAGGGCGGTGTACAGCCTATTAAAAGCACAAAACAAACATCAATTAAAATTATTTAAAATTATTAAATAATTCGGTTCAATTTAAAACCCCAGAAATTTAAAACACCCAATTTAAAATTATTATGTTGATAGCCCAGCCTGGCGGAACAACAGAGTCTTGAGTGCACAGCGAAATACCCGGAGGTCGGAGATCTTACGCACTTCCAGGGGCAGTTCATTCCACAGGGCTGTGGCTCCCACAGAGAAGGCCCTCCCCCTGGGTCGCCGCCGCCTGGAACATCTGATCAGTGGTATTCCAGGAGGCCGATCCAACCGCTGATAGGCGGCGGCGATAGGCCGTGAGAGTAACAGAATAGACCCGGGTCTCAGGAGAAAAAATCCATTGTGAGGACAGCCTGACCTACGGGAAATTTCTTCTGTAGCTTCAAGGGCTTTTTGTTGAAACGATATAGGGTTTCCTGCCTGAGCATGGGGTTGGACTAGAAGATCTCCAAGGTCCCTTCCAGCTTTGTTATGCTGTATAATGTAGGGCTATTATTTTGCTCATCTGTATGGTTTTTGGAACTGCGGTTACATGTAATTGCAAACTTCAGCAATTCTCATCTTTGAGCAGTGTTCCCAGCATGTACAAGGACACAGGATGAAACAAAGTATAACCTGTAACATTTGCTGTTTCATTGTTTAACAATTGCTTCTATCATTGTGTATGAATACATGCATATTCTCATGAAAACCAATGATGTAATTACTAACCAATTACTGTACCTTGGAGATTTGTTAACCAATAATGAAATAACACGTATAGTAGATGAGAACTGAGAAACTAAGAAACTATATAAACTATGTCTGATGCTCAATAAAGTTGCTGTTGATTCTGCTATCCATGGATGTTTTCCTTTCACTCATCTCCAGCCTCCGGGAAACAAATGCAACAGTATAACAGCATGTTACAAGAGGCAACCGAAGATAAGTCTTAAAAGGTTTAGACAAAGCAGTGCAAAATTTGTCTTAAAAGGTTTAGACAAAGCAGTGCAAAATGTTCGTGGCCGAAACAAATTTTTTGTTTTCTTGTTTTCCTCCTCAAAAGCTAGATGCGTCCTCTGGTCTGGAACGTCTTATAGTGCAAAAAAATACAGTATATTGCCATCTTGGAATCCTCCCTCAAATTTCAGAGTATTTTTTTCTAAAATCCCCATCTTCCAAGTATCTTACAGGTTTAGGTTTATTTCAAATGCTCACATTATATAGGAATCATTTATCAATATATTGATCAATTTCTTTTACACAGTTAATGCAGTTAGTTGAATATGTTATGATGATGCTTAAATCATTTGGAGTCTGCCAAAAGAATGGATTAAATTATAATAAGCAAACAGATATTACATGCCCACAAAGATTCAAACTTTTGGAATGTTGCGGCAAAACCATTCCATACACTCCAGTTGAAGATTTCTTCTAAGATTCCTCTCTCACAGGAAGAGAGGAGAGACAGACAAAGGAACGATTATCATTGAATTAATTATAGTTGTAATAATTATGCTATATCATGGGCATATGTTCTGTTTCAATCTTAGATAATTAGACTGAAAAAAACAGCCTCTTCTCCTCTTAGGCAGAACCCCAGGATCAAATCCCAGGAGTGCCTGGTTCTCATGTCTACCTTGACATGAAATAGATAATATCACTGATCTTCTCTTCATTGATACTATGTAGGTGACCACTATTGACTAGTCAACCAATGCTGCTGTCAAGATTAACAGCAAAACGTAGTTCAGGTTTCTCATATTAACAAAATCTAGGATTACAGCAGCATCAACAATGCCAGCATAATATAAGTTTGGTTACAATGAGGGAATGAGAAAGTAGCCCAGAACAATGTCTTTTATTGTTGATTCTTATATAGAATTTAGAGTTAATGCTTTACTATGGTTAGACTTACTATATTCCTGAGGTTTAACAGGACTATATTCTTAAGTGGTTTAAGAATACCAATTAGCCACTGTGGGTGTTGATTTGGCTGAACTATTTCAGTTCAGAAATCTGTGTCAAAAGTGTATTTCCTTTTGAGATGCATGAGACAGGTACCTGTTAATGAAGGCATTCTGTCACGCCATCTCAAACTATCTATGATGTAAGTAGAGAAAAAGAATCTGCCTAAACTTTTATAGGTCAAATATGTGGAACATATTTACTCACTGTGAAGTAAGACAAGCATTTTATTATCTTTTATTCGCCATTATATTGTGGAAACATGAAACCCTTTGGAAAGTTGTTCAAATATCTCAAACACAGTTTGTAGAAACTATATTGAGATATCATGAAATCTTAATGTTGATTATGGGATTTAGCTTCCAAGTATTAATGAATATATTAAAGACTGTTCCTTTATTATTAGTTTATAAAAGAGAGTGAAATAATGGAAATGAAATTATATTAAGAACTGTTTGGTATTAAAAAATATTTTTTATATTTCCGGATGTTCTAAGTAGCATTTCATAAATTTTGGTTATCTTGTGGAAATCTCTGACAATCAACTATATTAACAAGAAAACAATGTTTTATCTTTTTTTTCAGCCGTTCTTTCATTTCAGTTATCATCATGGGTAATTTACTGGATTCAGAAATATCACAGCCATCTACAGAAAGTAGGTGTGAAGAAATTAGTTGTTGAATTACTTAATTATTTATACTGCATGTATTTTATTTATGTATTTTATATCACACAACTGTTTCACATTTTTTATTCAATCCCTTTTATCTCCTAACCTTCTGATATTTTTCATTCACACATGCACATATTCACACACACATTTTACTGTGTATACATACACATTTGTGAGTGTAGATGTATGTCAGACATTGTCATTGTATTTTACTCATTGATCAAATATATGTATGCATTGACATCATTATAGATGTAAAACATGCATGTACATAATTAACACCATATATCATAAATGAAATAATGGCATTATTATTATTGTAAGTCCTGATAGAAACAATGTATAGATACCTCTCAGAACCATTTCTCTCTTATGAAAGTCAAGGTATATTGAGGTACATTAAGACTCGATGGAGGGATTTTTCAGAAATTTTAATCAGCTTAATGTAAAAATAGAGAGGTTAATATTTTCCCATCTTTTATAACATTTAATAAAAAAGGGCTTCTTCCATGGCAGCTCTATCAATTTCTAGTATTTGGTTTAACTGGAGCTGAAATCTCCATTACTTCTCTTGGATTTGAAATTGTTGGTAAGTTTGCATAAAAGCGCCATAGCATTCTGGAATATACTGCCTGGTTTCCTTATGAGAAGAACCAGAATCTTAGCCAGAATAGGTGGCATTTATAGAACACAGTGGGCCATGAACCATGATTTAAAATCACATTATGGTTTATAACAATATATAGATTGGCAGTTGAGTGCCTTTTTCAAATCAGAACATTCTTATATTTCTCCATGCAGCAAACTTGGAATTTTTTTTAAAAAAAGTTGTCAGTCATATAACTAAAAACTCTGTTTATTCACACTCTTGCATTCAGATTAATAACCAGTTTTGATTATATGTAATCATTATATTATAAATATTTTAAGACATAAGGAATCTAAGATGTATAAATATATACATATTATTGTTCAAGTAGTTGTTTTCAGTATATGAAATCTTTTTTCCAAAACAGGTATGACAAAATGCCTGGAAAGCCACAAATTAGTATTATTATGCCAGAGTCTTACTTTTGCAGTATTGTGAAAGCAAGAGACCCTGTTTGCAAATGAGATCTGTACATCTCAACAAGATTCTTCTCCCATTTCCCCTATAAGGATGATGTTTAGTAATCATTGCCTTTGAGGGAGATCCATACATTTGCTCTGGTCAATTGGAGATCATTGCTACAAATAAAGTATTTTAAAAAAGAAGAATTTTTGATAGTTAATTAATACACAAATTGTATTATTAGCATGGCTAATTGGCCTCAGAAAATGCACCGCCTCCACCTGAAAAATGTTGTTTTATTTAGTTATGTTTTATTGATGAAAATTGTCATTGAAAGTATGCAGATAATACAACAATAGTGGGCCTTATTCAGGAAGATAAGGATGCTTACAGAGAGGAGGTAGAGGGTCTGGTGGACTAGTATAGTAAGAACAGACTGGTTCTAAATGTAGGAAAAACGAGATCCATCATCAATTTCAGAAAAGATAGGCGTATTAATGATTCAACTGTGAAGCTGGTTAGTAAGTTAGCTGGGTGTGCAGCTAACAAGTAGATTAGCTTGGTCATTTAACAGTGAGAAACTGGTGAAGCGGGCACAGCAGGGTCTGCATTTTCAGCGTCGTATGAGAAGAGCACATCTTCCTTCTTCTATTCTTAACTACTTTCTGTAAAGGGATGATTGAAAGCATCCTGTCATATTGTATTACTGTTTGGTTTGGAAGTACAGGTAGTCCTCGACTTAATAACAATTTATTTAGTGACTGTTCAAAGTTACAACAGCATTGAAAGGGGACTTATGATCCCCATGTTCATGTGATTAAAATTCAGACACTTGGCAACTGGATCATATTTATAATGGTTGCAACATCCCATATGATCAACTTTTGTGACCTCCTGACTAGAAAATTCAATGGGGAAGCCAAATTCCCTTAACAACCTGGTTACTAATTTAACAACAGATTCATTTAACTGTAGCAAGAAAAGTTGTAAAATGGGGCAAAACTCTCTTTAACAAATGTCTTATTTAACAACAGAAATGTTGGGCTCAATTGTGGTCATAAATCAAAGATTATCTGTATTACTGTTTTGATAGGAAGGCTATGCAGAGCATAGTGAAGACAGCAAAAAATATTATTGGAAGTTTACTTCCTTCTATCTGTGATATGGCATACAAGCGGTATTGTCAGAGATGCTAAACATCCTCTCCAGTATTCTTTGTTATCTTCTTGGAGGAGACCTCATGGTATCTGAAGCAGAACAACTAGATTCTGTAAACTTTTCTGTGAGTGTATGGGTCTGTATGTATGTGTAGATACACAAACACACATTTTCTTTTGAGACCAGGCATCAATTTCATTTTTAATGTGTGCCAGTATGTACATAGAAAAAGTGATAATAAAAGTTTCCTTAAATACAATCTGTATAACTTTTGAAAAGCAGAAAACATTCTGCTACTACTTTGTAGAACCCTTTAATCATTCTCAAGGAAGGCTGTTTGAAGATCTGTATAAAAATGATAGTTATTCACACTCAATTTTCAAACTGACGTACTGACTTGTATGCAAATTCCTAAACCCATTTAAGACCAAAATCATGACTATCTTTGACAACCTACAAAAATCAGTTCCCAATTTTGTGGCAATCTGGCAGTACAGCTGGCTTTATATCTGTAGTTTAGATATATTTGTAGTTAGAATAGAGGTAGGTATCTCTAATTTTTGTTACAAACACTCCAGTTCTGGGAAAAATCATCTGCTATGATTACAAAGCATACCTGTAGTATATTTTTGTTATATAAAATATACAACACGTTACCTAACAACATATTCTAAAAATATACCAAAATTTATTTCTGTGATTATTACAAGATTGAAAGCCTGACATATACATATACAAGTGGACTTCCCTTCAGTTACAGCATATTTAGGAGTTTGCTAGACTTCTTTTTTCCTGAGTATTAAAGGGCCCACATTATCTCCCGTTGACTCGTTGTGTTTGTTGTGAGAGCCATCACAGGCAGGGAACTGAAACAAAAACAGAGAAAAAGTAGGTGACCTGGAATGTTAGTGGTTTTAGGACTATAATTGAGATTAAGGGAGAGGTTACTCTCAAATACATTAAGAAACATAATACATACTCAGATGAGGTTGGTAGGCTAGTGTGGGTAATAGATCACCAAGGATGAGAAGTATCCAAAATGTAAACTGAAATCTAAATGACACTCTTGGTGCTTTATTCATCACCAATACTAAGACCCATTGAACAAGTTTAGCATCTGATATGTATCCTTTAAAATAACGGCTTAAGCAGGAATGAGAAGTGGTCAGAAATGAACAGCTACAAAAATATTCTGTCCAAAATCTATTCCTATTTAGTTTAACCTCGACAATTGGCTGGCTTGGCATATGTTAAGGTATAAAGAGTGTTTTAGAAATCATAATAGGCTTGGTTTAAATTATCTACATTAATAAACGCCATTATTTTACTTTGAGAATTCAATTGGTACTAGCTGTACTTTGCTTAGATCTTCACTTTCCTCTTAATTTCAACTGTCTGGTGGCAATAAAATATTAGATGTTATATGCAATATGTAGAGAATTCTGCTTAGTGTAACCCACGTTAAAAGAATTGAGTCATAGTTGCCAATTTGGACACATCAAATCATAAGTAACAAGACAACAGTATTTGGCTCTTATCGAAATTAAACTATGGTTTATGATCAGATGGCATAATATGTTTTATAACACTTGTCCTAACCATGGAATTGCGTGCTATCCTTAGCTAGTTAAGTAAAATAGACAAATCATATCTATATCATAGCTGTTGTTCTTCTCCAGCAAATTCACCCTTGCAATTTAACAACTAAATGAAAGGAAAAGAGTTTAAATCATTTGGATTATAAATCATGGTGAATATATATGGCCTGGTAGCTTGGCAAAGCCATATATGGGTTTGCCAAGCTACCAGGACCATGTTGGTTTACAAAAGCACATATCACACATCACTTTCCCAATGATCCTGGAGGACTATAGACAAAAATATTTTTCTAGCTACAGAATAGATTTTAAAATGCAGGTCTTTAGTAGTATATAATCAACACTAGTTGATGGCAAAAGTAAAAAAAAAAAAAGTATTAATTCTTCACTAGTGATAAACAGTCTGCAAGAGCATTCTACCCTGAAGCGCACAATCGTGACTTTAAAAGAAGCAAAGCACTCTATATCATAAAAGACAAGAATGACCTTAAGTAAAAAGGGTATAGCAAATTCAATAAAACAACTCACTGTTTTAGAGCGCCAGCATCTGCAATACACTGCCTTAGTATGACAGAGGTCCTCAATGTTGATTTCGTTTACTACTTTGGGATTCTCCTTCTGGATCTTGAGATTAATCAAGCTGTCCTTCTGCCGTTTCTTCTTAGGAAAGAATGGACGAATAGCAAGATATCCCAGCAGAGCAAGGACACCCAGGAAAGGCAATAACCGCAGCCATTCTGAAACTGAGCACATGCCATAAGCATGTTATAGAACAGCATTCTGCAGTAACCATTATACAAACATACACAAACATTTGCTCTCTTGTTAATTATCCCAGGGCCACGACTAGCATTCCCAAGGATTGGGAATGGTTAGGAAGAAAAAAAAAATGTGTGAAACACATTGATCTTATCAGTTTTGAATCAGCACACTTTCAGTCCCATAATTTTGTACTATGCAAACTGCTTTGCTTAATGACAAAGGTGCTGGTCTCAATTGTGGTCACTAAACAAGGACTACCTATACATCTAATACAGTGTCTTGAATGGGGACAGATATTTCCCTCTCCCAGGCAGTCACATCTCTTGTGCAGAGAACAGATGCAAATTGCAGAATGATACCAATTTAAGTATAAAAAGCAGAGTCATTTTGGGATGATATGGTATATTTCAGTAGAATTCTTTGGAACAGAACCAGGAAACGAGAGCAAGCAGGTATAACAGAGAGCACAATGCAATGCCAAAGAAGTCTTTCTTGCTTCATCTTGCATCCAAATGAAGTGGAAATCAATTTTTACACTTTCTGCTGAAGCCCAACATTAATTAACAAGGAAGAAGTAGGAAAGGAAAATATAAAAACAGATAATTCAAGCTGGATCTGCCGAAAGAAGATCCAGTATATCCTTTCAAGTTGTATTTTGCTGCTGCTTTCCTTTGGTCCTCAGAACACATTGGATTGGGCTAAAAAGGGACCAAATAGTTTGTGATTCAGCATACTTTTTGTTTCATTGCTTTAATATGTAAATTGGAAAGAAAGCAAAGAAGGGACTCACAAAGACAGAACAAAGGGAAAAAAAGCACATCACGTTTCACATGAATCATTCCACTAAATTTTAAACGTATCATACCTAATTTCACAGAATAAAGATAAGTTTTTCCTTTGCATCTATATAAAGTGAGTTTATAAATAGAATGGGTCATAGAGATCCACAATTATAAATTTGGGATTGCAGTATCTTTCTAATTACCCATTCTTTCTCCAAAGATAAGACCCTGTCTTATATTTTTTTGTACCCCGAAATAAGCGTTTGGCCTTATTTTCGGGGAGGTCTTATTATTTGGGGGCGTGTGGAGCAAGATGGGGCTCATCTTGCCGTCTAACCTGATTTCCAGGTCTGCATTTAAATATTTTCGGGGAGGGCTTATTTTAGCACATGCGCTCAAAAGCCCTAATTGGGCTTATTATCAGGGGATGTTTTATTTTCGGGGAAACAGGGTATGTCTTCTTCATTCTTTCTCCATGTTCAATAAATCTAATTCTTTATATAAAATACATATTCCAAATATTTGGTATGATTTAAATGTAGATGCGGCTAATGCGGAATTGTGAAATGTTTTCATAAAACATTCTGCCTCTTTTTAAGGTTAGATAATCCAAATTCATCTTGCAGTAACTGAAAGTTTAAAAACCTGATTACTAATAAAATAATCTAAAATATTAATACCTTTTCTCATAACTCCTCCTTGCCTTCCCAAAGTGATTTGCCTGCAATTTTTAGATTGGGTTTATCACATATTGTACGTGGATCATGTGAGTAAAGGCTGAAATTATACTTTTCCTTGTATATTCTAATGTTTTCTAAAATGTATCTTAACTGCAGCCTTTACTATGGAAAACACAATAGAACTATGGGAAAAAAAGGAAGCCAAGGTATTGAGATGGTGTGAGAGTCAATAAATAACTTTCTAATGTGCTCATTGTGGTAGTCTGATTTTTTTCCAAATGAATAATCAGAATATTTTTATTTAAAAAATCCTACTTTTATTATTTTTATAAACAACTCAAGGTTGTAATCATATCTAACTCTCCTCCTCCTTCATCCTGTTTTTCTCACAATCACCACCCTGTTAGTAGTTTGGTCTGAAAGACAGTGACAGGTTCAAAGTTACCCAGTCAGTTTTCATGCCTAAAGTGGATTACAACTCTCTCTCTCCTGGCTTCTAGCCTAGTAACTTAATAGACCAAACTGGCTCTCAACAGAAATCAATATTATCAAGTATTTGGGGAACTTTCATAAAAACGAGATTGGGTAGGACAGATTACTAATTATGTCTGCAATATATATGCCGAGGTCACTAGTTTTTTGTAAATGTTCAACAAGAATATAAAATCATTAGTGTTGTGTTTTACTCATTTTACTTCATACAAAACCTCAGATAAGGTTTTTGACTAGTTGCAGGTACAGAATATTGTGGGACGTCAATCACTGTCTTACAGTCATATTGTGTTAGCCAGGCCATTGTGTTAATTCATCAAATTGTTCACTGGTTTTATACAGGATGTTGCATGAATCCAATTTTCATGATCTTAAGCATATTTAAAAATAACTGAGTTCACACATTAATAGTTGAATATGTCACAGTTAGTTTGCATACATAATGCCATAAAACATGGCTTCCAGATCTTAGGGACCAAGTTCACACAGCAAACTATATCATAATTTGATTTAATTCTGATTTAGCAGTGGTTATGAACCCAACAACTGCTTATTTGTAAAAATAATAAACACAGGGTAACTAAATATTCCACAAACCAATAACTAAGCAAACCACGATTTTTGATTCCGTATGTTTATTTACTGTATTTTATTCATTAATAATTATGTCTTCATCAACAATAAAACCAAACTCGGGGTTAGAATACACAGTTTGAAGGAAAATGTGGATGAAAGTCCTTGAAAGCAGAAGCAATTAAGACAATTTTATGAAACCACATCTAATGTGAATGTACAAAGTGGAGTGAGAGCAGAAGCACTGATCCATCTGCCTCTAGAATGCATAGATCTTCCTCCGGCATTGCTGGAGCTGAGTATATTAGAGTTTTACAGAAAAATCTGTTATATGTGGTCCCGCTTTTTCTGTGTCTTGAAACTTCTATTGTTACCCAAAAATTTGTTAAAAAATAACTGCACAGTGCTTTTTGAGAATTCAGATTTGAGTTAAACTTATTAGACAAAAAGACTGATTTTTACTTGATCTTTAGCACTAGCCTCTTAGCTTGACGAGGGCCTCCAGGCATGTACTAATCGGTAGAGACTTAGGGATCTTAAAGAAGAAACAAATGATCTTGAATGTCCTCCAACTTTTTTGGTTGAAAACAGGACATTCTAACAGCAGCCATATATAAGCACCCAGATCTTAGACTGTGCATTACATACATACACAAATTGGAACAAGCCAAAGTGGTAGAGTGCAGTACTGCAGGCTACTTCAGCTGATGCTAGCTGCAATTTTGCAATTCAAATCTGGCCAGGCTCAAGATTGACTCAGCCTTCCATCCTCCCAGGTAAAATTATTTATTTATATTACTAGCTTCTGACTCATGAACAGCAAGAATAAAAACAGCATACAAAATTTAAAAACTCAGGATCAGAATGGATATGCACTGTGTAAACTTAGAGTGGACTGCAAAAGCACTATGAAGCGGTATATAAGTCTAATGCTACTCCAAGGTCAACCTCGATGCCACATTTTATCCATGGGCTGGATCAGAGAGCCTACTAACTGATCAAAAGTGTCAATTACAGTTCCAAGATTCCAACCTAAATATTCTAAGAAATTGTTTTTGCATTGTGATGAAGATTAGTAAGCTAAGGCTGCACTGACTTGGTTATAATTTGATAGTAAAACTTCTATATCAAATTGCTCAGCTTCTCAGCTTCTATATATGACATCCACATAAATGAAGAGGCAAAGGAAGAGGCAAATAAGGCAATAAAATTATGGACCTGGTGACCTTCCATGTGAAATTGTACAAGAAAATATTCTGTATCTCACAAATTGATAGTTAAAATTTCCAAAGCTGCTCTGCATTCAGTCAAGAAAGGCAGGCTGAACAAGATTCCTTTTCTCTCAAGAGCATTTTATCCTCTACCCCGTATTGGCATTTCAACTGTGCTTATTACTTCTAACTGGTTTTTAACTTTGTAGAGGCTACAGAGCCAATGCGCTCATTTGAGCTGAAGTTTACTTATCTCTCCAAACCTCTGAATTTATTAGGCAGCTCAGCCTAGGAACAGTTCATAGCTGGAAGCAAGATTTCTTTTAAAAAAATGAAATAAAAACAGTTAATAGATATGCCATGTTTATTGAGAAAAATAGCTCTGGGTAAACTTTCAAAATAAAATTAATCTGCTGACAGAACTCATTTTTGAGTTTGCACAATCAAGTCAACTGAATTCACACAATAAACAAAATGACCTTCTCACAAATTAACCAAGGTTAAAAATAACCAACTTTATTATGCTTTGTATATACAGCTGTTAGATCTTTGATAGACCTACTTTGGCATTTTGAATACATCTAACCAGTCGTTTTAAGAGACAGGAAAACAAGATTAACATGCTATTTGATAGATATTTACACAAAAGTATCCGTGTCTCATGCAGAATCAGGAAAATTTATCATGCTGAGGAATGAAAGAGAAGTGATCCTTCTCTATTAACACAAGAAAGAGAACAAGTGTTTGCCCTATTTTCCCAAGAATAAGTTCACATACCTTTCCTCTCCAGTTACTGTCACAAGGTTTATATTGCTCTCTTGTCTCCAACATGCATATTCCATTATATGCTATGATTGAGGTTGAAGTGCACTGATGACGTTACCTAGTTTGGTAGTGAAACGTCTGCAAGAAAACCACCAGCACCAAGGACTCCACAGTTCATGCATAATTATTCTCTTTTATTGGTGTAACTCCTCTCATTTCAGTGATGATTTAGAAATAACATCACTCAGGACAGAAACATGCACAGAAACAGATCATCGGCATAATTAGCCATTCATATAACCCATCATTGTAGGAATAAAAGGTGAGTTAATATAGAAAAAGTCACTTATCCCCACTGAAGAATGTTGGCTATACTTCATGGCATGGGTTGCCCGAAGGACCACCCATCTGCAATTGCGTCTGCCTGTCCCCATTAGAGCTGGCAGAAAGAGCAGGCATTGTCTGCTTGACTTGGCTGGTCCAAGAAGGTGGGCATTCTCTGCCCGATGCCCTGCTTGTGGAACATTCTCCTTCCAGAGTGAGGTTAGTTCCATCACTGCTAAGGTTTCATTAGTCTGTCGAGACCTGACTTGCAGCTCTCTTAAAATGGTTCTGGCATTGTGTTTAATCTACTCTCTTCTCTACTTGTATGCTTGTCTTAATTTTTATACATTTATTTTTATTTAATGGTTGTATGCCACCCAAAGCCACTTCATGGAAAGTGGGTGGCCATATGTACTAAATAAACAGTTCCTTGCAAAACGGTTATATAATGTTATCAATCATCATTGATCATGTACGTTTTTTACTGCACTACATACAGTTTCCCGAGTGGCTTGAATGAATCATCAAAACAATTTAGATACACACATAAAAATGTCAAATCAATATAGACATAAGATGCATGATTCAATAATCTTGGTTTCTACAAATACAATTTCACTATTTACCTTATGTTTATAAATACACACTGGAATGATAGAGAACAAAATCTAAAGAAATTTATTTTAAAATCGTATTACCATTGAAGAAAAACATGAATGGTAAAATTTCTATACATTTCTTTTACATGTTATATAAAGGTTTTCTCAAGAGGAAACTCCTGGTGATTTTACAGAGGGTTCTGGTAACAGCATGGAACTGATTTGCATTTGCCTTTCAGGATACTTTCCCATTTTCTACAGCCATAGAATTAGCTAGCATTTTAATTAGCTTACATTTTAAATCAATAATTTATTGGGTTTTGAGGTCCCCGACTCCCAAAAGACACTGAGTGCTTACAATATATAAAAGACATCAATTAGGATACATATGGCCAGATTAAACTACATCAATAACTAAAAAAAAGATTGATCCAGATGCTGTCATCAACTAAATTATCGACAGCAGCATTTAAATGCCTAAAATTGCACTGTAAAACAGACCTGGAATATGAAAGTAAAGAAAATAACTAAACTTATTTTCTGTGGATCTAAACTCTGGATCTAAACTGTTTTAGGATCTGACTTTTACAAGCTATTGTTACAAACCACAATGATGAAACAAGCACCACAACACTACCATTCAAACAATCTTTTGCATTTGCATTGAGAAAGTGGATGCAAGTAAATTAATGTCATGTTTTTCTATCAAAACGAAGCTCGTTTTGACATTCTCTCGCCCACCCCCACCCCAGCATGAAAGACTAAAAGCCAACCTGGCATCTCTCAGGTATTGATTTATCCACCATGGTAAACCAGTGTATAACACCGGCTTCGTGGATTGTTCCAAGCCAGTCGTGAGGAACCAGCCACAAACGAACCACGTGTGAACCCGAGTGACATTCATTCTTTCTGCTTCAGCGCCAATTCGTTCTGCGTCCTTCCCAGCCCTGGAACCGAGCCAGCAAAGCGAGTAGCCGCAGAAAAGGGGGGAAAAGGGGAACCAAGAGGCTGCGCGCCCGTCTCGGAGGCAGCCTCGCGTGTGGGGGGGGAAAGGGGGGGACTGTGTAGCCCAAGGCAGCTACAGGGCGCAGGCGCAGGAGGCTGCCCGACTCGGTCCCAGATCCGACGGAGTTGATTTCCCGACTGACTTTCTGCGAGTGTCCAGCGAACGCGTTGGCCAGAAACTGGGACCTTCCCTCAGACGTCGGGCTTCTCCCAAAGGGGGGGGGGTTTTCACACACACACACACACACACACACACACACACACACACACGAGAGCGCCC